CTGTACTGTACTGTACTGTACTGTACTGTACTGTACTGTACTGTACTGTACTGTACTGTACTGTACTGTACTGTACTGTACTGTACTGTACTGTACTGTACTGTACTGTACTGTACTGTACTGTACTGTACTGAAGAGTGGGCATTCCTGGGGAAATAAGGTATTTACCATCTTTTTTGTAGTTGCATCTCATAGAAATAACATAGTATATAGAATGCGTACTTGATCACGAATCATGTCTCTACTTTTTCTCATGCGTGCCATTATAAATCCGCCATGTTGAATTTGACTAGGAGTGCAAACTACGAAGTATAAACAAAGCTAAAACTACGTTTTCATCGTCACAATGCAACGTTTGTCATGTTGTCTAATTTGTAGTTTGGGGATAGATTTTGAGTTCTTTAAAGGCATAAACTGTCAAAGCAAATGTGCAGTTACTAAAACGGTGAAAATCGTGCAAAAGTAGCATCGCGTAAATATAGTTTACTCATAAAACATTTTTGCATGCCCTGAACGTCACTATACTTCACTGTTTTGCAAATATCTTATAAGATTACAAATTGATATCGATAGTTCTTTCTTCGTCGGCTTTCGCTTTTCTTCAATGTAAACGAAGTGTTTTCATGTTCTTGAAACAAAAATATTTAGTTGTCGATAAACTAAAAATTGCCTAAATAATCGTCGAAAACTATGGTTTCAAAAGCGTTGTCTCAAGCTCAAGCACGTAGAAAAAATATGAAAAGTAATTGTGTAAGTTTAAAATAATTATTGAACTCCTTTTATATTATAATAGAGTTGAAATATTTGTAGAACATACCTATTGAGTTCGAGTCTGTCTTGATCTTTCGTGTTTTGCTTTGGCTTGTACAACAACGTTGAAAATTTATTTTTTGAACGACTAGTTCTGTACATATTCTGTTCGAAACTGTTGCGTTTCGTAAAAAAGCCCACTAGAATGGGTTTTTAGACTCTTTTTCTTCTTTATAAAACTTTTTTTCCATTTTATATCTGGATATAAAATTTTTTGCAAACTTTGCAGTTCAAAAAACAATTCGCAATAACTGCAACCGCGCGAAATGCACCTGTATAGACATTAAAAGAGAACTCCAAGGGGATAAAAACGAATAGGACTCAAGGCCCTATGCAAGTGCCACCCACTGAAATCCTAAATAAAGTTACAGTTTATGACATTTTACTGTACCGTACCGTACTGTACTGTATTGTACTGTACTGTACTGAAGAGTGGGAATTCCTGGGGAAATAAGGAATTTACCATTTTTTTGTAGTTGCATCTCATAGAAATAACATAGTATATAGAATGCGTACTTGATCACGAATCATGTCTCTACTTTTTCTCATGCGTGCCATTATAAATCCGCCATGTTGAATTTGACTAGGAGTGCAAACTACGAAGTATAAACAAAGCTAAAACTACGTTTTCATCGTCACAATGCAACGTTTGTCATGTTGTCTAATTTGTAGTTTGGGGATAGATTTTGAGTTCTTTAAAGGCATAAACTGTCAAAGCAAATGTGCAGTTACTAAAACGGTGAAAATCGTGCAAAAGTAGCATCGCGTAAATATAGTTTACTCATAAAACATTTTTGCATGCCCTGAACGTCACTATACTTCACTGTTTTGCAAATATCTTATGAGATTACAAAATGATATCGATAGTTCTTTCTTCGTTGGCTTTCGCTTTTCTTCAATGTAAACGAAGTGTTTTCATGTTCTTGAAACAAAAATATTTAGTTGTCGATAAACTGAAAATTGCCTAAATAATCGTCGAAAACTATGGTTTCAAAAGCGTTGCCTTAAGCTCAAGCACGTAGAAAAAATATGAAAAGTAATTGTGTAAGTTTAAAATAATTATTGAACTCCTTTTATATTATAATAGAGATGACATATTTGTAGAACATACCTATTGAGTTCGAGTCTGTCTTGATCTTTCGTGTTTTCTTTTGGTTTGCACAACAACGTTGAAAATTTATTTTTTGAACGACTATTTCTGTATCTATTCTGTTCAGAACTGTTGCGTTTCGTAAGAAAGCCCACTAGAATGGGTTTTTAGACTCTTTTTCTTCTTTATAAAACTTTTTTCCATTTTAAGTCTGGATATAAAATTTTTTGCAAATCTTGCAGTTGAAAAAACAATTCGCACTAACTGCAACCGCGCGAAATGCATCCTATGTACTATTAGACATAATTAAAAGAGAACTCCAAGGGGATAAGAACGAACAGGACTCAAGGCCATATGCAAGTGCCGCCCACTGAAAATACTAAATATAATGTTACAGTTTATGACATAAACAATCAAGTACTAATAATCATCAGTAGCGTAGCCAGCCCGACTATTTGGTCCCGCTATGCAAATATTTCCATGTTCATTGACTGTGAAAACAATCAATTTCTAAAGAAATGAATAATGATAATAATTTTAAATTTGCATAGCGGGATTAAATTGTCGGGCTGGCTACGCCACTGATAATCATGTAGTCAGTACACATGTCTTGTCCAAAAGTGGGGTCTGGGAGTTTGAAATCAGCTTTTTCTCGCCTGGATTGCCTGATGAGCTCCATCTACCCATAGGTTTAAGGTATAAGGTACCTGACACTTGCCTGTTCATATTGTACTATAATTGACTGATTTTGTGTCACAAAGAGTGGCACCATCCAAGAGTGGCATGTTGTCCGAACAGCCATGGCCTGTTTTGTGAAATGAAATTCGACAATACAGTACATTAGACAACATAAGGACCTAGATTTTCCAAGTTAGCCTAAAAAGGTTCTCATGTAAATAGTGCTTACCGGGAAATTAGGTTAAACAGTTTCTTAAAGATATAAATTCTTATGTTATTTACCGGCTGCGAGGTCCGCACAGAAAAAATATTTTTCCGAGGCCGAGGGAAAATTATTTTTTCAGCACGGACCGACCTAAACGGTAAATATGGACCAACATTACACTATTTATGCAGCCACAAGCCACTACTTCGAATTTTGAAATGAAAGAAACCCGTACCAGTAATTGGATCAGGCCGAATTCATGAATAATGGGCGTTGAATTTAGCAGCGTGAGAGTATGACCTAATATATCGTCCTGGTAAAGAAGACGGAATTTGAGATGCTCTCAACACTCTACCTTTAAAAATTGAGCCAAGTTCGACACTGATACCACAAGAAATAGTAAATTTGCTGCACCACCTCAACCAAAGTCCAATATATGCTTTGAAGATCAAAAAGTTGACCTTACGAGAGCCCGTACTATGACAAGTACTTCGAATGGCGAGAACATTAAACCGTATCTCAAACAAAAAAAAGAGATTAGTGTTCAGGATAGATGTCTGTTATGGGGATCGCGGGTAGTAATTCCTCCCAAAGGAAGAACTGACGTTCTGTATTTGCTACACGAAACTCATTCAGGAATGGCACGAATGAAAAGTTTAGCTCGTGCACATGTTTGGTGGCCAGGAATCGATAAAGAAATAGAAGAAAAGGCAAAGATCGAAATGTTCAACATGTGGAGTACACCAGAGGACGCCAAAAAGAAATGGTTGGATATTCACATAACCAACTCGTGCAATACGCAGTCAACGGTCAGAAAACTGCATATGACATTTGTAAATCATGGATTACCGGAGTGGTAGTTTCTGATAATGATCCAGCTTTTGTTAGCAAAGAATTCGAGGAATTCATGAAACAATGGAATTCGGCATCTGCGCCTTATCATCCTTTAACGAATGACTTGGTCTAGAGAGCTGTAAAAACGTTCAAGAAAGCGATGAGGAAGCAGAGTGGAACTTTGCAAACTTGTCTATCTTGATTCTTATAGATATATAGAACCACACCGCATACCACGTACTACAAGAAAATCGCCCGCTGAACTACAATCAGACTTGACACTGTTACAGCCAGATGTTGGGAAAACTGTACGTCGTGCTCAACATAAGCAGAAGAGACATTGTACTGAACACGTAAGACAGCGTTCAGTTTCCATCGGTGACGATGTTCTCGTGAGAAATTATACAAACCCAGGATTTCCGTGGACTGCTGGAAAAGCCGTTGAGTCTACGGGCCCAATTTCTGCGAATATTGCATTATATCAGATGATCACTGACGATGGGAAAATTGTACGACGCCATCCGGACCAAATAAGTTCCTCAAGCACTAAAGATTCTAGCATTCCTGCTCCAGAAGAAATTCAAGAAACTAACACTTCTACAAAATAAATTCAAATTCCTGAATTTCAAGCTCCTGAAACTCAAATTTAAACTCGATGTAATTTCGACGAGAGAAAGGAGAAAACCCAATAAATTAGACGATTATTATGAACTTTGACAATCTAATTGTTAATATTCCAGACGATTATTTAACAATATATTATTTATTGACACATTTTTAGTATTTAGTATGCTACGTTCGAGCTGCGGGCCTTCGCCATTCAGAACTGCAAGGAGAAAGATAAATAAACCTCCCTAACTTTGCCTTTTCCTTTATTTTTATTATACAGCTACATACCTGCTTCGAGTTGATGGAGCTTGACCAAACCGTTTTCCAAACCAGAAACGACAATGGTACCAGTTAAACTGTTAAACGTTGTTAATGAATATACGCTAGCATTAATGTTCCGAGTAAATACTTTTACCAATGGCCCTACAGGTTGGAGGCAGGAAAATAATGGTAAAAGATGGCAAGTCTTCGTGCACGTTTCACGGACGCGATCTAATAGCTTGTTCACGCTCGGGTATTCGTCTACATAGGACAGCAATCTGCCTAGAACACGAGTATATAAGAGTTTTAGCATACGTGATAAAATGTTACTATATATCTATAATACTAGCGCAATAATGTTGAAGGCTTGTATGTGCTTTTGAGAAAATGAAATGAATTTAGAAAATAGTGTTACCTTGCAGTTGCGGACCAATAGAATCTGGGTTTTTTTCGATAACGTCGGCAGATAACATCAGCGACGATTTAAGAAGCTTAATTTCGTGCGAGGGCGTGTCCAGGATACGAAAATCCAATATTAGGGCGGGCAAATCGATCTGTTTCACTTTTTGTTCTAGCCAGTAAAAGTCAAAAAACAGTTGAAGTAATTCATTATATTGTTCGGAATAGAAAATGTGATAGGGTAGGTACTTGAAATAATAGTCTTTTTGGCAGGTGCTCGAAGTAATATCCCATTCACCGTTCACGCATTGGCCACGAAGGGTCTTCACGAACAAGCGCTGGACATCAGTTAGTGTACCTGTGGCTCGAAGTTCTGCCCGAGCAAAATCCAAGAGTACATCATGGACACGGTAGCTTGTCCTCCCTTGGAGTTCCGGTCCTGAAAAACGTCGTTAGTGAGTATTCATGTATAGTATTGTACAGATGTTTGTACTAAAGACGTATATTGTCAGTTTGGGTCCGGTTGTACGAAGGCCGGATAGTGCATGCTATCGAACGGACAGTGTTTGTATCTAATTTTCTGAAATTTTCTGTTGAATACACTGTAGTATAACTAAAATTAAAGTTTAGTAATTATGAATTAAAACAGTTTTATAATTATTAGGATGTCCGTATCTGTAGCTCTGTACATTTTCTTCCTTTTTGACTCACGGATGCAACATCAGTTAGTCTTTGTGGTTACTTGAGTGTGGGACAGTTAAACAATGGGAAATGACAAGCCCGCGTTGCGCGCACTGTTTGCCTGCGTATCAGGCCTTTTAGAACCGGAAATCGGGCTGAAGCACTTGTTCGTTCTTTTGATTTCGCAAAAGAAGCACGACAAATGGCAAAATTCGAACGGTGCTCGTTTGCAAACTGCTCTAATTCTTTCTGTCACTTTCATTTGATCTCATCCGTGAGTCAGCCTCGGCGGCCTTTGATTGAACGTTAAAAACTTAAAATCGGCTACGAAAATCACGCTACTCGCTTAACTGTCCTATATATCAAATATATGATGCTTGTGATGTTACTCTGAGTGTATATCCATTCCGGGTAAGCTTGAAAAATATGCCTAATCACGGTGGGAGTAGATCCTACGACCTTTGGAATGTCCTATATATAATTTGTGCGAACTTTCTAACGGCACGTATAGTTCAATTTGCGAAAAGCGAACTAAAACGTTTGCATTTTTGTTGACATAATACATGGGTTAATGACTGTTTGTTACGATTAATAATCAAATTATTATTACCAGTGACGTCATAAATTGATCCAATGTTGATGAATTAATTCAAAAAGGCTCTAGTAGCATAGCATGTCCACCTAACTGAGCAAATGTAAACCTCTTAATGTAATAAAAAAGTTTAATTTCTATGACTCGTTTTCAGACAATCCTGGCCAAAAACTTTGTGGACTGTACAAAATTGTAGCAAATTATATAATACATTTAGATATATTGCATAATATCTGTCAAACCCCCACACCCCCATCTCAATGTTGCAGTCCAATATGATATATACAGAGTTGTCGATACGAAAACGATTTCAACATTGTTTTGGGGGAGTGGGGG